GCAGTCGTCTTTCCACCGTTTTATAATCAAAACCAGCAACCAGCCTAGATCACCATAAAGTTGTTTACCTAGGCAGAGAAAGTCAGGGGACGGACTGCATTTTTGGCCGACGACCTTGTATGTCTTCACATTCTTGCCAAAATTTGAACTAGCAGATAGGGGGACAACAATCATGCGGATTAAGGCACATAAACCCTGGGGAAAGTAAGAGGAAAAATCCAGGATTTTGCGGTCCCGATTTACCGATTTTAAGCTTTGACTACCACTTAAATAACTAGGAGTCCAGTCAAATCAACTGCAAAGCCACTACTGAGCTTGGGGTATGGTGGGGGCTGGCCGTAGCACTACGCGTGCCGTGCAGACTGCCGTCTTAAACAAAAGAGGCATTCGAAAAAGAACAAAAATCACTCACTGACTCCACCTTTACTGGCTGAACACGAATTTCCGTTCCTTCATAAGACGAAATGTGTTCTGAAACCATGGCAACGTTAGATGTGCCTTGATTGTAGACAATCATGGCAAAAGCATCATCGACAGCGGCAGTAGAGGTAGAAGCACCAAGACCATCATCAGGAGTGTCATCCATGCGTTCCTTTATCCTCTTCATGCTGTCATTTTGCAACTCTTCGTTTTCTTCAACAATCATAGGCATTTCCGATAGCCGTGGAAATAACTTCGTTTCAGTGATCCCAAATCCATTGTTGGTGATTCTGTTTAGGTCACCGCTTCTCTCTGGAACGCCATTGCCAGTGTCTGAAGTTGCCGAAAGAGAAAGACCATTCATTTGAAGTATTTATAAGATTACGCAAACATTTTCGTCCCTTCACAATTCATCCCCCATCCTATACGAATTCAATCTACTTGCGGACGTGCCTGGTTTGTTTTAGTACTTTTTTAGAAAAATTAAGAGCATCTAGGATGAAATCGATGACTGTGAAGAGGAGTCTTTGACTCTCTTTTGACTTTATTTTCTCCCTTAGTATCACAGTCCTCCAAATATGTCACCTATGCTTCTCGTACTTCAGCCCTTCTGTGTATTGAAGGTGTCGCCTGGAAATAGGTTTTTGCTGTGATACTTTCTAGAATATTTCGAGTGTATCACTTTTGAAGCTCCCTTTGAATACATGCAATCGGAATCCCCAAAATATACGAAATTGTGACCAAATACCGAGTACACGGGCTTTAGAAGCACCAAAAGACAGGAAAAAAGGGTTAGATCGAGTGGCGTGGACGAACCAATATAAGGAGGGGTTCGAGGTCGACCTCATTAATAAGTTACAATCTAACTCACCATTGAGAGTATGGGTTTTGGTGGATTCGAGGCTACTCGCGTTGCAACCCATTATTTAGCCTCCCCTAAGAGATCACTTCACACACGTGTTGGTGCTTTGAAACTCACGCCGCGGCGCCTATTGATTTTTGGGGTCAAAGTTCGCCTGGAAGTTGGTTGCATTGGTCGTTTACACAAGGGCTGGGAGACTTGAATTTGTAGCACAGGAGACGGATAGCCAACTAACTCTGCCCGTGGACACATCGATTCATCCATTCTATCTACTAGGCCTCACATTAAATACTTGTCCCTTGGTTGCGCATAGTTACCAACAAGCGGACATTTCGTAATAAAAAAGTGATTTCACGTAAAAAGCAGTTTCCCCATTTCAGTGGGAGAGAAATATGTATTTGCCCAAAAAAAACCAGTAGGGGAAGTAAGTAAGGAAAGGAAATAGGAGGGGAGGGAAAGGGGACAAAAAGGAGAGAGCTGACTGTAGTGTTGTGGGTACTTTAGGACGCCTCCGCTGCTACCACGACAACTAAGGACGAAAAGTCACACAATTGGCGAACAAACGGCGCAGGCGGGTTACTGACAGCGACAATGGAACCGGTGGGGAGAACGACACTTCTCTCATAGCTAATATTATTGCTATGGGGACGAGATGGTGGCGGTAGCGGAGAGGTAGAGGAGGGAGAAACGGAGGCTTTAAGACAAAGGGAGTTGACCTCGTAGACGCCGGGGCAGGCAACACGTGCGATGAGGGCCAGGCGGTGTATCTGACCCGCAGCCAAGGCTACCTGCTGCACGCACGCACCTGTCCACAGTACGCGTGGCGGTGACGGTTGCTGTGGGATTGTGGGACTCCTACTGTAACACAAACAAGTATCACCGAAGAACGGGAAAATCTGATTAACCACTTCCCTTGCGGTGTTCTGATTATACTACTGAAATGACTATAAGTAGTTCATTTTGACCAGATAGACGACCAACTACTAAATTGAATATGGGTAGAATGAAACACCAGGATAGTACATCTAGCGATTCGGCTTTTCATCACTCATAAACTACTATTAAAAAGAAAAATAGATCTCTTCAAAGGAAAAATCGTATATGATGCAATGTTATGAAATGCTACTAACACTTTTTAAGTAGCAAGCACCAAGACTTAAACACAAGTTTAAATCTAAACTTAAAAGGCCGAAATTAAGTCGAAAACCCACCTTGTGCTGTCTTCATTAGTCGATATACGAGCGGTAACGGGACAGGAGCTGGCATTATAAATTTCCACGGTGACTGGAATGGCGGCCATTGCAGAACTGAAAGCGGAGTTTAAAAGAATAATTTTGAGACAATCTGATTTTAACATGATACAAGTTCTGCTCTTATCGTTCTAGACGTTCAGAATTCTTGAAGCTATAAAAGCAGCATACAGAGGAAATGGGTAAGCTTCCGATCAAGGGTACTACTGATACTAGCGCAGTAGTACCAGTAACTCAGTCGCTTACAGTTGCCTTTAGTTTCTGGGCTCTGAAAATTGTCCCACCAACGGTTGATTAAGCAGGCAAAATTTTTGTTACTTGAACTCCCCCCCCCCCCCATAAAAACGTTCAAATAAGATATTAAAATGACGCACTACTTACACCATTTGAAGTAGATATAAACCCCCCTTGAAAAGTTAAGCAGACAGTACCTTTCAACAGTCGAACTTAAACCAGGTGTACATTCCTCACTCCTTCTGGTAAAATTATGCACGACTCGGAATGGATGATACAGACGTAGACGAAGCAGTGAAGAAAGCGGTAGCAGTGAGGGAATCGAGGCCAGCATTTGCGCCAAGTTGTTTCCCGAGGGCTGGTGAGGAAATTAAGGGTAAGTAATTGCCTTCCCATACAAAAAGACGGCCAAATATGAACTTACAGATTGTAGAGCTTTCGGCATATGCGCGTAGACAACACGAATGTGACTCTGACCGAAGCGTTGGCTTTTAACCAGGGAGTCACTTTGATCAACCACTTGCCAAAAAGCCAGTAAGAAGAAGTTCTTCGGTTGCAAGTCAGTTTCTGGAGCTGCTACTTCTGTTGGTGCGTCCCCGTTGGCTGAATTTCCAGTCTGACACTAAAACATGGAGAAAGTTTGATCGAAATGGTACCATCTAACCCAAAAGAAATGCAGCAATCTGTATCCAGACGCTGATTACGGCCCCAAATCCCGGATCAAGAAGGTTGAGCTGAGTTTCAACAAGACCTGGCGCCATCCCATGCCCCCCACACGACCCGAGGTTAAAGGTTTAAAAACTCCCACAAACACAGTAACCATCTAGATCCCTCTTGATTAGATTCTCCGAGGCTACTGTGCTTGCGATGTCGACAAAGGGATTAATGGGGACGACAGATCAACAGCAGAACCAGCATTTACAACACTTTTCAATCAGAATAACTTACCCTGGATGCAGCCATTTGAGCGGCCTGTGTAGAGAGCAGGAAAAATTGTGCATAGGGGGTGGCCAGTGCGTCGATTCCATCCGAGACAGGGTGTAAAGCGATGCTGGATGCGCTGCCAACACCAGCAGCCTCCGTTGTCGCGGGCTTCCGTCGTGTTGCGCGAACGCAAAAGGTCATCTCCCGGGTCGGAAGCATGAGAACACCGTCTTGGTAAGGAGAAAGGCAATTAAAATGATAGATGATGACAACCAATCAGGTCACAGCACACAATCGAAACCATTCAAAAACGTCCTTTAAAAACAATTATAAAACGTCCAAAAACTCACTCTTAGAAGCTGCTGCCTCTCTGGGAGCCACGAGATGGATATTCCAATTCACATCCAGGCAAGCCAATTGAATCACATTGAATGAATGCTAGAAAAAAAGCCGCAAATCAAATAAGGAGCAAAGTAACCTGTAGGGAGACGTTCTTGCACCTCAAAGTGATCACCAACGAGTCCACCTCGGAGCCCTGGGTTCTCGCACAAGTCGCAGAAAAGTGAAGCGACGGTAGTAATTGTAAACTCGCCTCGTGCTGAAGGTACCTCAACCTACTTATAAGCAATCAGTAGAATTTGATCCCCGCAACCTACTCAGATGGTTCGTCCTTCGTGGTGTAGCCGAAAACCACATGAAATCGACAAAAAGGTGGAACTGGAGGCTGTGAAAACACCAAAGAATTCTCTCGTCGTTGGGAACGGTCTAATCGACGCATTTGGGCTGGTGGTGCTCGAATCCAAAACTGCTCGTTTTTCGACTGCGAGGCCTCCAATGGGACTACCCTCGACAATGGCATAACGAGGGATGGAGACGCATTAGAAAGGAGGAAAAAACTTGGCCAAGAGGTTGTGACGTAGAGATTCTTCAGCGCACGACTTCCAATATTCGTGAAAGTGAGGCTGTGTCCGTAGATTTCACCCTCGAATAGGGATTGGGGAAGTCCACCAAATGCTACCTAAAGCAAGATAAGAAGGTTGGTCCCTAGAATCTAAAAAAATTCAAGTACCTTCAGAAGCGCCTGCGGTGAAACGACATTCCAATGAAAGCGTGGATCTGTCGGAGCTGAGGAGAAGCGGACCTTCCCCTGAACAATGGAAGAAGTCAGGCCGCCGGACGTTAAGGAATTCGTTGACAAATTAGTGGAATCCAATGGATCGCGGAGGAATTCAGTGGCTCTCATGGAAACATCCAATTGTGGAGTGGTGGTAAGTAGCTCCAGTGATGATGAGAGAGGAGGCGGCGCGGCAGGTGAAGGAAGGTCTGCCAGGGATAATTGACGTGACGACGAGATATCAAGTTTAAAAGCAACACCGGTAATTTGGAGATCAATCATGGATCGTCTAGGTTGCAGTCCCAACTCAACCTAGGAGAGGTGGAAGAAATATATCGGGGGTTGATTCACATTAGTAGTAGTTTAAATTATCTGTAACCAATTCTTTATTTGGTTTCGCGGTTCATTTGTCCCATGGTCGATACAAAACCCCCTCGAATACTGCCGTGGTGGTCTTCATATCGGTGGCATGGAAAACAAACCTCGATGACTATTTCAAAGGTAGAGAAAAAAACCGACCAAAGAAGATTTAACCATTCCTCAACTGACCAATTTCCTGTCTCCAGGCAACATGTAAAACTCGTTGAGAACTGAAGTGTGGACGTAATTCCGCGCCTCACGAAGTCGCTCCAAATTGACCTCTTCGTTGGAAAGAATAACCCCAGATTCAGAGAAGGGGTTGGAAGTGAACGACGCCTGCCAGAGAAGGTGGACATCAGTCAGAACAAGCGGCACTTTCCAGGAGTTGTACAGTGGGATCTGAACTGTCAGCTGTTCTGAAAAGGTGAAAAAGTAAAAACTAATGACGTTTGGCAAGTTGAGCAGCCAACAAAGGGGATTCAAAACAATGGCAACTGTCATAATTACTCATACGTCCACAGTCCTTTAATGTTTTAAAGCTCTCTGAAAAGTAATTCGAGGGATATTCTGCCTTAAGGAGTTAAATCGCTACCTGAATAGCTGGTAGCATTTGGGAATAGGAAGGCTGTGCTACTTGTAATTAATAAGTAGTGGGTGCGATTTTTAGACTTACCGCCAACAGGAATGTCATGCCACCGCATTTTTTTCTTTGTCTTCTCCTCGTATACGGACGGAGCTGTCGCCACCACAAGGTCGCTGTCATCTGCATCGCGAGACAATTCCTGGCCGGCCTGTAGACATAACAGCGCTTTCAATCGACGGAAAACTGCCTGTCGTGGTAGTGAATATGAGGGACGAGAGTAGAGGAAACGAATGAATTCTTCACCGGGCCATTTCATGTGATTAAAACCACCATCTCCCCTTTCTAAAAAAGACCAAAACGTAGCATTAAAAATATCCATTTGAGGTGCACTACTCAAAGTATCAAAATTGACAACGCGAGCTCTTCAGTCGCCGAGAGTCCGGGCTGCCACACTTCGATGGCGTGACGTTTCTTTCGTGTCATTTCTGTATCAATCGTTCAGTGCATTTATCAATCGGGACTCGCCCTCGAGTGTAACAGGACAGTAAAGAGTGAACCTTAGAGGAAGCAAATAGACCCACCTTCCACAGATGGCACGTCCGTAGAAACCATCCAAACAGGAATGTCAGTTGTCGGAACAAAGGAGGGAAAGATTAGAGTTGCAAAGTTGTGAGGAAGAGAGGAGCGCTGAGCTGTGAAGGTACGCGCATCTTCAGCGTCTTCGTGTTCATTGTCCGAAAAAGCGGTTCCACGAGCTTCCACCGAGCAATCATCTACGTGAAGAAAACAAATTTCGTCCTATATCAAACTCACATAAAACCGCTTTAATTGGTTGGTCTTTTGTCGCTCTGATACTTTGTCATGGCTTGACAATTGTCCTAAAACCGCAACATTTGAGAAATCAGATTTGATTGGCCTGAAAGGATCCATTGCCATAGAGTAGTTGCGACGCATTGTTCGCCCGTGTCAACAGAGACAAAACAAGAAAATAATCCATGATTTATACACTGTGACCACATTCTACCACTCCTCTTGACATTCGTGGGTTGTCGTTGCCATCCATTCAATCCCTCAATATTTAGACAAGAAGGTGGAATCCAAATTCCCACTCATAACTACTTCAGCAAACTGCTTTTAACAGTGAACACTCACCATCCGTTTTGCGGGTAGGTGTTCCCAACATCACTTTGGCATGATTTTTTTCAAAAATTGGAAGACCCAACTCCAGCCACTCCTTTCTCCCCTCTCCGGATGAGTTCACCTACGAAGGTGTCAAAGAGGTAGTCATTATTGTGACAATTCCTGAGCTTTAAGTTTTCAGAGATGCAACAAACCTTATTGAGGATGTTGAGGAATTCTCGCAAAAATCGACTCTGTGCAGCTTCCAATTGACAGCTATGCGGTGAAAGGAGATGCCACAATGATTGAAGCGCCTCCCTGGGTTGATTTAACAGAATCTGTTGACGTGCAAGATTTTCATTCACATGGTCGAGGACTAGAGTCCAGCCGGAGTCAACGCTTTTGATAGGTGAGAGAATTTCAAGGGTCAGGGAGAAGGAACGAGCGCTGAGTAGTGGCTAAAGACAGGAAAAAGATATACTACTGACAATTTATAAGTAGAACTAGTGAGCTGGTCAAACTAACGCTGCTTCCTTTCCAGCTGCAAAGTAGAAGCTTTAAATCAAACGGGTGAAAGTTCTCTACTTTGCACCTTTCACATCTTCAGTGGCAATGCGTCCCACGATTCGACAAATAATAATGTTATATTTTTAATGATCGAATCGTGAGTTTATGAGGTAGCACTAGGGTGGAGAAGCTAAATAGGGACTTCAGTTTCCCGTTTTATGTGAAAATCGCCTATTAGTACCAGTTCCGATAAGGCAAAAGATCAAACGCGCGGCGGCTGAATAAAGACCTGTTTGATTCTACATCAAACAAAGTTGCTAATCACAAAGGTGTAAAGAAGACAATGGCTTCCCACCTTAAAAGTATAGGAAACAACAATTTTACCTGTTTGGCCCGAGCAAAACGTACTCCAGCCAGAGCCATTCGCATTGCGAAGTGACGAAGAAGCGGCCGTTTCCCCCGTAAATTACAATGTGCTGCCTGCTCTAACAGCATACCTCCAGCCATAAATCCACCCTAAGCAAAAAGAAGTAAATGAAGGGGCTAACAAGTGCGGTGAGTAAATCAGGAAGCGACCAACCCCTAGTGCTAGGGATTGATCCGAAATGAGTTGGCGCATCCGAGGTGATTACACAGATGGACATAGGTGCCATTAACTTACTACATCAGCCAATCGAATGAAACACACTGCCGTTTCGGCAAAGAGTTCCCGAGATTTCAGTGCTTCCGTATGCAGAAGAACAGCCCGCAATGCAAGATCAGAGTTTCTAGCATGGAGGAAAAAACAAACAAACTCCATTTAATGGGGAAAATTCTAACCGAGAGGAGAGTACCTTCTCATAGAGCTTTATGTGACAAATTTCTTTTTCCCACGATAGAATATATGCACACATACTTGCATTTAGTTACATAGGTAAGAATCGCATCATCCATTTGATGTTGTGGGTACTGACGTTGGCTAACCGCTCCCTGCAGGTACGTCGACAATGCAGACATCTCCTGTAGAATCCGAATAAATTGTTTAATCCATGGGAGAAAATGGCCGTTTAAAACTGATTTCTTTGCCTCTCAAACCTACTTGCGTCCCAGCATAGTAAAGCCAAGCCGACTTCTGCTTGAAATCTCGTTTTACCAGGTCATAAATCTGATGCGCTGATTCGTATTGTTGAAATAGAAATAAAAGGTCTGCCAGCTTCCTCATCTGAAGTTCTGGTGCATCATCAGGATAGACGGAAGCCGAACCAGCGGCAGAGTTAGTACCGTCCAGCAGACTGACATGCAGATCCGATTGGCTTAAAGAAAGGGAAACGGACTCATTTACATAGGATTGAGAAAAGAGCTTTCGAGTGACCGAGAATAATCCTCGAGACTTGCGCAAGCGATGCGCAGCCTGGTCATTCAAAGACTTGATGGTTGACTCCGTCCACGGGACAAGAATCCGAGTTACAAAATCATACACAAAAGCCTGAAGTTTTTCATGATCTTGTTTGCCTAAGTGTTCACCATGGGGACAGGTTAACTGGGGATTTAAAACGGATTTAGCTGTCTCAATTTCATTCGGTTTCCAGCCTTGAGGAAGAAGATATCGAACCCATATATCTCCAATGGTACTGTCAGAACAATATTGAGACGAACAGAGATCCAGGAAGTAGCAATTTGCGTTACCGTAGGTTGCAGCAACCGATTGGAATAATTTAGCACCACTAAGAAACCGCATCAACAGCAAATAGTTGAACAACTTACTCAGTAACTGGCATCATATCCGGGTCGTTGATAAGAACGTAAAACTTGACTATGTTAGTTGGACTAAACCATCGGAAGGGTTGAGATTTTAACAGCTGGGCTTGTTGTTGAACAAGACTTGAAAAAGCACCGAGGGTATCTGGATTACGGGTGGTGACAACGAACAAGCAACCGAGATAACGCGTCAGAAACTCATGTTCATAGCAACCCAAATGAGATATGAATAAATGACGCCAGCACTCAAACCAAGGGGTTGAAACTAGAAAATGTGCAGTAAGTAATATATGCATGCCTGGGATATTGTAAGCCTTCCCATTGAGATAAAATTTGGAAGAGTTCATTGTAGGAAAGAGAGAAGGCTGAATAATAAACTCTCGATCAGTCACAGGGTTAAACGGCGCGGTGGCGTTATCAAAGCGGACACAGAGCTTTTTGACCATGTGCGTGATGTTGTTTCCATCTTTCATAAAAACTAAATGGCGAAAGGTTACTGACTGCAGTTAACCAACTATCTCTTAATTGTCCAGAAAACGGTAATAACAGCTCGCTGAATGTAAGGTTGTTAGGTGATAGGAAACCCTCCACATCTTCGGTAGTAAGAACACCAATAGTTGGAGTAAAAACAAAATTTACAAAAGATTCGCCGGATACAGAACAACTTGTCATTTCGTATATGAGCACCGCGTAATTAAATCAAAGACACCAAAGTGTTCGGCGATCATTGGCCAACGGTTGGGATTGTATAGGCCTCCAGCTGATGTAGGCTACTAAAATGAAGAGGTTCCGTGAAGGTCACCTGTGGGCAGTTAGGACACTTAACTAAAGATCCTATTTTAAACTCATTTGGTAAAAAATGTAACAATTTTGTTAAAATCTGATGGAAAAGCAAAATAATTCTTTGTTAAAGTAGTGATTTTATTTAAGTTTTAGCAAAATGCTTGTAAAACCAATCTAAGCCGCAGCTACAAGCGGATTTTTTATCTATAGCTACACACCGTAAATTTTGTACATTTTGAGTTTGTATTCTATACTGCTGATTGAATGCTGTAACACCCTGCGATTTCCTTAACGTCGAAATAATTTATCATGTTAGTGTTCAGACTTGAGTCTTCCTTGAGTTCGTAAGAATCCATAGAAGTGTAGCGTCCCGGGACTCCCTGAGGATGAAAGAAGACAAAATACCCGGGCAGAATATATAATCGGCGCAGAGAAGGTGTCTGGGCTATTGGCATGGCCCAAAAGGCCAGCCCGCCCAGCGAGGTACAAGGAGGCTAATTCAATGTACAAAAGTGGCGCTTCACCAATGCCGAGGGATAAACCACTGTCGTATTACAGGAGTATAGCTGAAGGCATTGCTGACATGCATGGGAGCTGAGGCTACTGGCATGGCTCGGACACCTGACATCGAGCAGAATTGCAGACCTCGGAGACTTAACAGCCTTCGTGGTTAAGTACACACATTCAACCAAATATGAAATCTCTTTTTTGCAATGCCTTCCTCTGCGCTTCTCCTTCCCAACATCCTGCGGGGGCTATCAAGACGCAGTCTGCATTTTAAAAGCTACTTACAACACGGCAAAGCCAGTCATGACAGGTTCCTGGACGCGATAGGCATTTATCCCCACCGTCAGCTATGCATCGTAGCAAGTTCCCTATATCCGGAGTCTATGATCTATTTAGAAGACGTATTAGTAAAATATGTGCATTCGTATCCAGTGCTCAAGACTGGACGATACTCCACAGCGAGAGCCTCCTGTACGCCGATTGCTGGTCATAATAAACCTGGCCTGCCAAAAGTAATTTCACAGACCAAAATCTTCTCTTTGTCACCATTTTTGCTTTTAGTTTTGTCAAGCCATTTACCTGGGTTTCATTGAAATGGTAGAGATGTGGGGCTGCCATCGATTGTTCACGTAACAAACATCTTTACATAGGTCCGGACGACAGCTCCGTAGATGGTGTTTTCCTTAAAGGTCAAGCTGGTTGTCGTTTCCGGCACTAAAAAATCCTTTTGCAAAACACGGAATCAGAGGAATTATCAATGGTAGACGTCCCGTTTAACCCCCCTGCCAGGAGTCTTCCCATATTCTTCCAGCCTCAGCAGATAGCCTTCTTTAACGGCAGTAAGGTTTATTATTGAGCTTGATTGCCACCGCTACCAATGCCCATCCCACAGTCGTAATAAGCTACATCACTATAACAGGAGACTTACCGCTGACTTATAGAGGGGCTATGCAGAGATTGAAGTACCCTGCCCTGACAAACACAACAAAGCAAAATATTTAATTCATACGCCCAAAAAGCAAGATCAAGCGACTTCCATCTAAGGGACGTAGCGGCATTGATGAGCCCCGACGTGAGGTCAGCGAAATACAACATCCTCTACTGTGAGTGGTAAGACTACAGGTTGCATTATTGATACTTCAGTTTAATTCTAGGAAACCCAGTTAAACCAGGACGAAGAACATTCTGGTAGAGGTAGAAGATTCGCCGGCGATGATACTTCCGAAATTTTTTTTAAAATGATGTGCGACTCCAAATATCAAGGGACTTTTCACGCAGTAATAATAGTTTATTTTCACAGGTAAAAATGAGAAAAAAAAACAATGAACAAGTCATACATAAAGCGTTATTATCTTGGCCCCCACTTAATATCACCCAGACCATGGAACTGCCGTTTCAACTGCCCAGGCTCCGACCATGCGGAATTGAGGTAAGAATCGTCATCGTTCTCCTCCAATTTCTTCAGCTCCTCCTGCCTCCGATAATAAAATGCCATCAGTGCTCGCTGGTCGGCTTCACTAATCACCGCTTCACGTGCGGGTGCACCAGCGCCGCGTTTTTGAATCTTTACAATGATCTTCGTCTTCTCATTTTTCCCAATATAGTCAGAGAGCAATTTTCCCGGTAACATCTCCTTTCCGGAAAACCAGAGTGCTGCATCCTCGACTGGAATCACCTCGGTTCCAGCCTAGAAGGCAAAGTGCGCTCACCGCATAATCAGCTTACGTGGGTACCAGACAAGTCTTCCTCATTTTTCAGTTCCATTTGAATCGGATCGTAGGGTGGAAGACCCATGGGGTAAACTATGGTTACAGCACCACTGAGCATCATAAATGCCTCATTGACAAGTTCTCTTGTGAGTGCTTTACCTTGTTCAACGAATTCCTTTGATATAAGGGACTTTGCTGAAGCAATGGTTTTAGTGAGAATGTCTGCCATTTTCTCCGTAGGGGCTAAAAAATGCATCTGCCAATCTGACAAATACCTTTTCCGTTTCTTCGACCAAGTGTATCCTTATTTTCCACAAACCCACCGCTCGGAATGCATTTCTGACCCCATTCATCAACTAATCTCAGTTCTTCTACTTGATCATCAGTCAGCCCCTTAAAATGAGTCCAAGGAAGTCAATTCACTTACTTGCATATTTGGAGGAAGCGATACCCCATGCTCAGCTAACTCTGAAAGTTGATCTGCTATGCGAAATACTTTTAATCGGTAATTATATATTTCACAGACATTTTCGATAAGTGCCTTGACATCTGTGGATGCAGGGACCTCTATGAGGAATTGTGCCTGATCGCCCTTCTTAACGACTACGCGAACCATCAGTTTACAACGGTTAGCGGTCAAGGGTAAAATAGCTATAAGACAGCAAACTCAAATAAAGCGCTATCAATTAACCATTTACGTGCAAGAACCTCAAGGTTATATTTTGGAAAACTTCTCGTTGCTACAGTTAATATTCCAATGTTTCAGCCAAAGTTTTTGCAAATTTTTTGTAGTAAACACCCACTAAAGTTGCTCTTAAAAGCTTGCTGTGCATCTTAGCGGTTAAAAATTTTGGTTTTAACATGAACTACCGAAACTGACTTTTAGAGGGATTATCTCATATTATTCAAGATGTGCTATGGTAACTACATTTACGAAGCCTTAGAGATATTCGCTAATTGCGTCACGCAGGATATAGAAGAATTTTGAAGATTCAGAGCGAAAAAAATGCGTACAAATTCATAAAATCCCTAAGTAATTCAAATAATTCCCATTAAACCCACTGAAATAAACTGTTCTTAGGTGAAAAATGTCACTCCAATTGCGCTTTGATGTAAATTTCATTGACGAACGCAGCATGTCGACCAAAGATTCTAATCCGCATTTACAATAGCCAGAATTCTGTGATGCCATGTCCACATCTACTTAAACTTGTTTTTGCTTTCCCTATTTACTTATCCTAATAAACATAACGAAGCCGAATAAGCATGGGTGTTATAAGTATAGCGTCCAGAGCCTTCCCTAAAAACGAAAGAAGACACGATACTCAGGCTGAACATATATATTCAACGCAGAGAAGGTACTTGGACTATTGGTATGGCCCAAAAGCCATACAAAGGTTAATTCAAAAGTGACTCCTCGCCAATAACAAGGGATAAATAACCATCGAATCACACTAGGAATATCAGGATCAGAGAAAAAGTGATTTTTGGGCGATGCCCTACAGGATCACAAAGGTTTGTAAATCGAACAATAAAAAGTAAAGCGTTTAGAAAAATTGAATCGCATTACGTAGCAGTCACTATCTGCATAAGAGTGAGGAGTATATTCTATATGTACATCGTCAGCCTTTTTTAAAAGGATAAAAGCCAAGGAGAAAGAGACAAGATGAAAACAATTCACAGAGGTGGCAGCACCGCCTGTTTTCAGAGTTTGTATTAAGGCACAGATTTAAAAAGGCAAATTTAGCACAATCGATTTACTTTCAACATTTGGCCTTAAGGCCATGAATTCCACTAAATCCATCACGGTCTTCCTTACAATGTCTTCCTAGTGGCCGTAGGCATATGTACTATGGGGCTAGTATGTCTCCCACTTCATGGCCTTTATAATCAGAACACTGCGGCTGATTGGATTTCGACACGTTCATTGCTTAGAGTAAATAAGAGATATTGTCCACTCCTCAGTAGGTTGTTATTTCCTCGGTTTTGATGAGGAGTGACTTTTGAATTGGGCTTTGTTCCACGCTGGGCAGGCTGGCCTTTGGACCATGCCTATAGAACAAATACCTCCTCTGTGCCAAAAATATACATATTTGGTTCGAGTAATTTGTCTTCTTTCGTCTTCGGGGAAGTATCGGGATGCTGCATAAACACATACTTATTACTTCGGGCTGCTAGGTAGAACAAGGCTGTTCCGCTTTAACCTCTCTAACAGTTATTGAAGAAGATCGAACACTTTTCAGGGATCAGGCAATTGCATTGAAAATAATTGTGAACTAAAAAGCCAATGTGGCGTAATATTCATGTTGTTTTAATATACCTTACAGGGAGAAGGCAACCAGGAAATACGAATATGGTGACAGGATCGTCCTCTCCCTTGCTTAGTGAGTGCGGTTCTTTCCCTTCTTAAACGCTGTAATTTCCCTCTCGATTCTTTCCTCTTTAATAAATGTATCCAAATTGAATTAGTCGGGCTCTTCTAAGAACGCTAGGAACAGGGATGTGGAGACCGGTGAGTTTGGTTTAACGAAATTATTGAATTCATCAGGTGGATTCTTTTAAAATTTCAGTTTTTAAGGGCTAGAAAAAGCCTTAGGTATAGCGGTAGTACCTTTTCGAGGTTTTGACAACTCTTTTCGATTTGATTATTTCCATTGAATGCTAGGTGAGATTCTTAGTTAATATTCTTATAATCATAAATAAGATAAGTTAAAATTTTTAAGGAAAATTTTAATGGCCTATTTCTTTATTTCACACTTGTTTGAGTTAACCATGCTGACAATGTGCGGTTAGTATGCACGTGCCCCGTGGCATATTAGTCACGGCGCACCTCTGCGGCGTGGCGTGGCTCCGGAGTCCTGGGATTGCTATCCCTTGTTCTCTTTTGAAACACCTATCTGGTAAAAGAATACTTTTTTAAACCAACCTTTCCATTTTAGGGGTGTGAAATAAACTCACTGACCCCGTTTTACTGGTGGCAGCGCCGACGGACCTCCCCAATTCAAGATCGACATGGACTTTGAAAAGTGACTGAAAATGCCAGATTTATCCTTTCGTTTTGCTCGCAACATGAAGGGACACTACGGACGCTACGTGCCTTCCTCAGAACTTATCCATGGCTGCTGAAAAGTTCAGGTTGGAGGCATGCTGCCCTTAGTTCAACATGTCATCGCCACAGATTTCCTTTGGGTCTATAAAGTGTGACTAGGAGGTGAGTTTGCGTAGAGTTTACAACATTTGATGGATCGAGCAGATTGTTTACATGAGGTTATCTTTTATTGGCTTGTATTAAGAAATGAGAACAGGGGATGAGGGTTAAATGGGTTCAGATTACGTTTTCTCCTCAGGCCAGTGGTGCTCGTTACGAGGTTCGTACGTGCTGACTGCTTGCCATTTAAGAGGTGCATTTAGACATTTGTGTATTTTGGTTCTTTATCTATTTTTCAAAGCCTGTTTCTGAAAAAGCTTGACTTCGTTCATGTATTTCGTTTTAGCCCACCTTCGTAACTTCGTTAATTCTGGTGATTCCACATACTCTTCCTGGATGCAACGCGGCGGGTTCTTCCTGTGAGTTATGTTTTTTATGATGACAAGATGACGAGTTTGAATCGTAAGACATGTTATTTCTCGAGGCATTTGTCTGACTTGTTCTAACTCCCTTTTTTGTATACAGCGTGCCTCTGCTCCACTGGGGAATTAGCCATCAAAGGTAAGCCTTGATGAGAACTTAGGGCAGACTCTGACCTTTGATGTTTCCTATGTCTGATTTGTCCCACGACCCAGTCTAACAGGGTTTTTCGCTTTATTTTTTAGGTCTAAGAGTTGGACGTTTTTGGTGCCAAAGCTCAACTTTTGCTATTATTTTAGTAAACGCTGTTCTGTACGTTCTCAGCTATTTTTCTGGGTTGGTCTGTTGGTTTTTTCCTATTTGTGGGTTGGTGTGTTGGATGAAGTTAGGGCTCGTTCTCGATCAGGTTGCCTAGCTCGGTTTGTTGGTGCCGCGCTCTAACGTCACGGGTCCGTGGTCTGTTCTTTCAGCCTACCTAGGTGTTGGTTGGGCGAGTGCTGATTCTCCTGCGGTGTTAGGATAACCTCGAAATTGTCTGATATCGGGCAGGATGGTCCGGCGTGTTGTGGTGTGTCACCGGTGCCTTGGGGCCCTATTATCGTCAACTAGGTGGAGGAGTGGCTCTACCGTTGGATGCTCGCGTTCTTCCGTGGTTCTTATTACTCGTAACCTGTATCCGGGTGAGGGTTTCCGGGACGAGGGATGCGGCCTTTTGGGTGCGCTCTGACAATTAGGGGACGTGGGGGCGCCATCTCTCCAATTTGTTCAGCTACTAAAGATGACCGACAAACTGGAACCTCGCCTGAGGCGATTGTCAACGATCAATGGCTGGCCCGAAGCTGAAAGAAGTCAGATACCTTATTGACTTTAAGGCTGGTAACACTTCCTTTGTTAAGATCTGTTGGAAGGGGGGGGAGGGATCGATCGTCTTAGTCCTTTTGTTGCAGCATTCCAACGCCGACAAGACCAGCAACTGGATGATGTGACCGAGGACATGCCGCATCAATTTGACTGTTCCGGGCCTAGCCAGTCCTTCTAAGGCCCAGTGTTAGTGCAACCAGGCATCGGGGACAAATCCATGGCACCAGACCCAACGTGATCCGAACAAAACAACGCGTTTTCAATTATAAGGAATCTACTTTGCCAGAAACGGTTATAAAACCACTTCCATTCCGCTATCTCATCGAAGCGAATTTGTTTATGTAGTCAGTCAGAGGTGTGGAGAGGATAGTGCGATGAGACTATTTGCCTGAGTTCAATCCGATTGCCTCAGCGTCGTGAAAACAGACTCATGGACAAGCTTGTAAGAGGTTGACATGATAACTGTCCGTCTCATGGGGCTGACGTGTGTTTTCCGACGTCGTCTGGGCACACTGTCCTCAAAAATGGCAAGAAACCACGGCCGTTATGCTGCTATGCCATAGAAGACTTGGCCGGACGCCAACGCAAGGGCTATAAAAGTGAACGCCCACCCATTGCAATTGAAATCAATACCACAGCGACTGAAGAATCCGTGCAGGCAAGTGGACAAGATAAAGTCACTGTTCTGTCACAGCAGCGTCCAAGTCGCGTTGTGTGATGCCACAACCTGTGAACGGAGAAAGTAAAGGCGTGCAGTAGCTGGAGCACTCGACGACGTCTGGAACACCGATGAATGAATCAGTCGGATATGAATGACTGAATGGATGGATGGGTGGACTGATGGATGGATACAGGATGGGTGGATGCAGGATGGATAGAGAGATGGATGGATGGATACAGAATGGGTGGATGCAGGATGGATGGATGGATACAGGAGGCATGGATGGATGGATACAGGATGGATGGAT